GTGAAAACCTGTCTCTACTAAAAATATAAATATAAAAATTAGCTGGGCATGGTGGCATGTGCCTGTAATGCCAGCTACTCAGGAGGCTGAGGCAGGAGAATCACTTGAACCCGGGAGGCAGAGATTGCAGTGAGCTGAGATGTGAAGGATTTGGATAGACACAAAAAGAAAGAAAAGAAAAGAAAAAAGAAAAAAACCCCACAAATTTATCTATCATAGTGTATTTGCTTGGAGTATATTATAATTTGAACTAAGAGGGTCAGAGCCAAATGTAATGAGAATGTTAGGATGATAGATCCTAGCACTTTTACAGCATCTCCCTTTTCAGGTACTTATCAGAGGTCATTTGCACAAAAATCCACAGGAGCAGTTGACAGCGATGCTGAATTATCCATCTTAGCTATTAAAAAGGTCCATCTAAATCACTGTAGGATTTATTTCAGAATCCACATTTTCTATATTTACAATGTCATGGAACACTTTTCTACATTTTCATTAATTAATCAACACATTTATCTAGCACCTACTTTGTATAAGAGCTTTTTCTAGGTACCAAGGAGCACCCAAGAAAGTATAAGACACAATACGTGATTTCTAAGGGTTGCAATGGAGTACAATGTATATTGGGATTCATCAGTGGTTTTTTTGCCTAAGATCTGAAGATCATACAACTCCAACTCTACCCCAGCAAAAAAAACAAATATCCTAGAGAATGATGTTTTCTTATAAGTAAACATCTACAGAGAAAATATTTAAAAGCCAACTTTGGCTCCAGCTACTTAAGAAGACTCACTGTTGAAATTATTATTCTAGAATATTGGACAACCCTGGGGATGCTTTAAAAGAAGACTCAAGAGTTGAACTCTTATAGATGATAGGAAAGGCTTTTCAAACTTATAATACCTGACTTATCCAAAGACCACCCTCATACCCCAAGTGCTGTTGAAACCCAGGCAGTAAGCCAGTGGAGAGGAACTCCAAAACAAAACAAACACCCTCCCAGCAGTCAAAAATAAGTGTCACAAAACCGAAATTCATTTGGTTTTCTCACAGGTGAGGCCCTCCCAGGCCAGCCCCACTTAGAGTGTTCCTTTACTTTCAGTTCATCCATACTTTAACAAGCTTGGGCATATGACTTTCTAGCATACTATAAATTAGAAGCAGCAAATTAGAAGCGGGGAAGTTGCTAGCATAAGCATTGTGAGAACAGCAAAATGTACTGGGCTGCGAGTCAAGAAAAAGAATACCTACTACAAAAAATGAGCAAAAGAACTATTTTATGCAGTCAATTTATTCATAAATAAAATAATTGCTTATAGGAAAAATATTTCAATTGAAATTTCATTTTCCTCAAAAACATTCAGCAATTTTTAAGCTGTGTAAGTGGGGCCTAAATTAGTGGAAGAGATTTCAAACACAGATCCATTATTTTACTGTCCTATGACTCAGGATATGCAGTAGGGGAAAATCAATTATTTCTATGGAATCGGCCATCAAAGCTTGTTCAACTGTCCATGGGGAATTAGCGGTAACTCACTATTCAGTGGTCCAGAGGAATTAACGCCACATTAAGGAAGCATCCTGTTGATCATTATGGCCAAATATATCATCCTCTCATTCTTAAAAGGTGAGAAAAAGTGTTAAGATCAATCTTTCTAAAACTACAAGGCCACTAGTAATTCATCATTGCCTTCATTAGTAGAGATTACCCACAACTTTGTAGAAAAAAATATCCTGAGTCCCTTCAGGCACTCCAGTATATGTAATTATATAAAATGGGGGAAAAAGATTGAAAGTGAACATAATGTGACCCACATTTTCCTTCCTCTCCCCTACCACCTTGCTGTACACCCCTGCCAATACTCCTAAGGTCCATTTTCCAACTTCTTTCAAAGGGAATCCTTCTTGTCTCTGATAAAAAATTCACCAATAAATATATTCATAAATAAATGCAAATCCTGAGGACATGTGGCTTTTAGAATCATATTCTATGTTTCTTTTCATGTATACATTTTACCTGTTACAATCTTCCACTTCCTTCTTTGCAATCTCTCTCTCCCTGATTGGAAGGTCTTACCTTTCTTTGCAATGTTCATCCCTACTGATTTATCCCCAAAGATCATCTTGGAATCTTGTTTATTAGCATTCTTTTAACATTTACTGTATGCCAGCTGACAGGGTTGGGGAGAGTAATAAATAGTCTTCCATTTCCCCAGAGATGTCGGTCATCTACTTTTCACAATAATTCCCTGAGCTAGGTTCTGTTATTATTCCCATTCTACATATCAGGAAATTGAGGCTCAGACAGGCTAAGTAATTTGTATATATACATATAAACATATATGTATATGTACAAACTTTATAAATATTACTTGAGTATTCAAAGAGATCCAGGTATAGCATCAACTGTATCTGGGTAGATATTCAGTACCTCCTTTGTTGATCTAATATTGATGGACGACTCGTCAGTTAGCTCCTGTCACTATTACAAATTTGCTCAATTAGATCAATCTAATCAAATTCCAGAATAAAAGAAAAAAACCCATGTGTTATACCAAGGTAGAGGGGTAAACCACACATGAATTTAATAGGTATATGATCAGAGTTTCTTTTAGAAAGTGAATAGCTTTGGTTATTGCTTAGGGAAAGGAGAGGCTGCTGAGAACATGGAAACAAAGTAGCTAGCCAGACCGTTAAGAGGCTCTGGAAAATAGAGAGGAATCTGGGTTTGCCTGTATGAGAAAGTGGGATTGCGCCAGAAGGATGTGGGCAAAGAAGGGCGGCCATACTGAGAGGCCAAGTTGCTCTGTGAGATGGGAGGGAAAGGACAACATCCCCTGTGACATGAGTTTGTTTGTAAAAAACAACATTTATTTTTAAATGTGCTGTCTGGTGTGCACTCCTTGCCTTGTAGTATAGATCATCAGTAAAAGTTTTGCTACTGCAAGAACCTTAAGTTCCTGATTGTTTTTAAGGTAGATCGGTTTCAGGATGGGGACGAGAAGGGGCTTTGTCCCCTGTTTTGGTGGACACCAGTGTGGTGATAAAGGAGCAGCCACAGGGAACAGAGAAAAATACCTTCAATGGAAGCAGAAAATAGAGCAGTGGTGATCCCAAAATTGTAATTCCTCAGAGAGATACTAGAGAGAGCTTCGGGTTTTTACCCAAATGGGAATTTGAATCAATTTCTCCTGATCTGAAAGGGCTGCAAAAATCCTGGAGGATATCCAGATTACACGAGAGAATCTCAACCACCTAGCTTGATGTTTGTAAAGAACAATGTTGTTTGCTAGAACTGAGGAAAAGACGATGGCAGAGGAGCTTCTTAAAAATAAATCTGAATATATCAACATGTGCAGTCAACTAATTTGCTGACTTCAAAATAGCCTGATGAAACTCTTTGCCTGTTAAACCTATTATTGCCCGTAATGAAAGATTCCATATGCACTAATCACAACATACAGCCTTATGTCTGATCATAGCTTCTAAAAAATCATGATACAGGGATTTTTAGTTATACTCAACACATTTTTCCTTTAGAAACCGGATTGGTTGTTATAGATGCCATGAATGATATAAATTGAGCTCGTAGTTGGAAGAAATCTAAAGGATCAAGCATCCCTGAGTTTCAAACAGAAACTTGCACTGAATACATTCAAAGGTATGTGGATTTTATTTATAATTTGATATCCTTTTTATTGTGCTTATTTCTTTCTCTGAATTTCTTTTAAAAGATACAAATGTATTCTACATTTCTAATACTATATGCCATCAATAGTTACTTTTTAGTTGGCCCATAATTAAATTAGACTCTGATTACCGAAATGATTTTTTTTTTTTTTTTTACTTTATAATGCAACAAAGTGCTTGTTTAATTCCAAAGCTCTTTCTTGGGCCACATTTCACAGTAAAATATTTATTTTAGTTAATTATCACTTAAAGTAAAAATAATACTTTCACGGGCTGTGATCTACTACTTTGAAAAGCTTTTTATTTAATTACATAAAATAGAACCATCAATGAAGTGATTTTTCTCATTAACCCAGACAAACAAAGAAAAAACAACAACAAATTTAGGAGTTAGAAAACTTCAGTGTACTTTTCATAGGCAGCATAATTACATGTAATATTCACTTCCTATACAAAATTTAAGGTCTTTCTTCTGACAGTTTTCCAAGTTAGTCAATAATTTGTGCCACAAATCAATGTGCACATTTTAGAATGACCTGTTTTATGTCCCAAGGGTCTTATTTATAGAATAATTACAGAGAAACATCAAACAAAACGAAGATTCCATTGAAAGAAAATGAAACCTCTGAGGCAGAAAGTATTCAAAATTCATTGAAAAATCACATAAAATTAGTACTATCCTCTCCTGTTAGTTCAGCCACATCTTTTGCTCCACAATCTGGAGCTCAGAGATGTTACTGGAGGGTCTTGCCTGAAGTTCTATAGATAGGAACTTCTGGAACTAAAATCTACTATCTTGGAAAATTAATATATTTTCTCAAATGATTAGTCCTTGCTTTTAACAGTAGCAGTACCCAGGTAGACTGTGCAGGAGACATTTCCGTGCCTCCTTGTTCTAAAATTATAAAATACTGTGCACTTTGATGATCTTCCCAACCTTTAGAGCCAACTTTATTCTGTTAATCATTAATTATAAATATCATTTAGCTTCTATGACTATGGGCTGTATGGGCATAGAAAATGGCATGCAAAGTCATATGAGGATAGATCATTCATGTCCCTATAACTTGTTCAGCCCTCAACCTAAATTAAATGCATCTTTGTCACTATTGTGACTCCACAAAAAATGAAACAGGCTGAGAGCTGGAAATCACATATGACTGAAGTAAATTCACAAAGAATGGCTCCATCCTTCTTACTAGCAATAGACTAATGTAGATTACGTGTGTTTTATGGAGCATTCATTACATCCATGTTTCAGAAGAGATAAGAAAAGTGGATGTTGACTTACATTTCAGAACCATCAAGAAATGGGGACCTGGATTTTATTTGCCTGCCTCCTGGGAGCAGCTTTTGCCATGCCTGTGAGTAAAACACCCCTTGCATAAGTCTGTCCAATTTCACAAGCTTGAAAATAAAAATCTGCCCACAGTTGGTGAAATTAGGGTTTAAAACAGTGTGAGATCAGATGTCTTCATACATCTCCGGGTTGAAGAAACACTTCAGGAGCTTGTTTTAAAAAGACAGATTCTCAAATGCCTCTACCAAAAATTCTGATATGGTACAGCTGGGCTGGGGCCCAGGACTCTGCATTTTTATAAGCACCCCAGGAGATTCTGTTGGAACTGTTAGCTTGTAAATATCACCACCCATCTAGATGGAGGAAGCTTTTGGAAGGGACCCTTGAAAGGTCTCCACAGAAAGTGCTTAACCAGCTTTGGACAAATATTACAGAGATGCCAGTTTTGTCTAAAACCCAATTCCTCTCAAGTTTCCAAATCTCTTCCTGCCCTCCATATATTGCTGCTGTTACCCCTCAAAGGGTAAGACTTTTGTGCTAGGAATCCACTTTTTGAGCCATCTTCCTGTTCTTAGAGGCCCCACCTCTTTGAGTACATCTGATAAGTACGTGGCTTTTTTTGTGGTTGCCTGGGATCCTGCCTACACCCAATACATAGTGATATATTTTATATTCAAATGTATTAAAGATCAGGACATTAGACCCACTCTGTCTGGACACAGGTGCATAAGGACAGAGAACTTAGATCACATGCATGCCAAGCAGGCTGCATCTGCTTTTTGGTGGAATAAAGAGCAGTTGATACAACCAGAAGCCAGCAAGCTTGCACGCCTGCCTCCTCTCTTCCTCTCTCACCCAGAAAACCAAGATTCTGTGCTCTGACTTCCTGAAATCCTGAATTGTAGCGATTCCTAGTTTCTTCAGGGGTCCCTGCCTTACAAATTCAGCCCTTTTCCCACTCTCTAAGCTGGTATTGATCAAGAGGGCATACAACCTGACTAAAACCATTCACATCCAGATAAGAGTGAATAAACCTTCCTATGAAATGTGAGCATTTTTAAAGAATATAATAGAGCCAATCCTAAATGAGGCCAATGTCTGAGGGAGATTTTCTGCATGACTGTCTCTCCTCCCTGGACTCCAGGAACAACCAGAGTTCCACAATACAGGCACCAGACACTTGGCCCCCACTTTTGAGAGGATAGACAGTCCTGATTCAGATCATCATTCAGGTGGCCTTTTATTTTTAACTTTAAAATTTTTCTGCCATGAAACCATTGGCAGAATAATAAAAAAAAAGATTGGCCTAAACATCATAAATGAACTCTTTCATTTTCCATGGGATTTATAATGTTTCCACTTTGCTCCACCCATCTTGTTCTGGCATTTGTCAATAATTCCCACCTTGTGGTTTCTTTTGTGGCTTCTTTTGTTGTATGGATGTGTTGTTTACTTTGCATGTCAATTATGAGAAATCCCTTTGATACGTAAAGTACTTGACCAACTCCTGATCTACAAGGGAACATTTGTGAGACAATTCTCTCCTTGTTGATATTTCTTTATTGTGTAAAAGAAGCACACTTCTCTCCCCAATATGGGATGAGTTTTATCAGCAAGTAAACTGTTGGGCAGGATAGGGCAGGATTCATCGAAAACACTGGGCGTGGGGGTGGGATGTTGTCCAAAGATCACTGGAGAATAAATGTGTGCTGGTTTCTGCTTCCAGGTCTCCAACCATAAGACTATAACCCCAGGAACAGTCATATAGCTGTTTTGGACCTCTTTAAAATAAGAGGTCTCCTCTTCTACATAGCACATTTGTTCAAACTAAAAACAGACCTCAAGTATATTCTGTACTATATAGATTTTTTAAAAGTAGCTTCAGTCTCCTTTAATGTGAACAATTGCATACTGACTTAATCTCTTCCTCTCTCTTCTCTTCCTTCACTCTCTCCTTTCCTCTCTCTTTCTATTCTCCTCCTCTCCTCCCTATAAAAGCTACCACCTCATCCTGGGCACCCTGGTTATATCAACTTCAGCTATGAGGTAATTTTTCTCTTTACTAATTTTGACCATTGTTTGCGTTAACAATGCCCTGGGCTCTGTAAAGAATAGTGTGTTGATTCTTTATCCCAGATGTTTCTCAAGTGGTCCTGATTTTACAGTTCCTACCACCAGCTTCCCAGTTTAAGCTCTGATGGTTGGCCTCAAGCCTGTGTCGTCCCAGCAGCCTCCTGCCTGGCCACTCTGACTCAGTCTCTCCTCCTAAATATGGCCGTAAGCTTACCCATCATGAACCACCACTCAGGGAGGCTCCATGATAGGGCAAAAAGTCAACTCTGACCAGCTTGGTTCTATCCCAGCTAGTAAAATGTAAGGATTAGGTAAGATGTTATTTAAGACTCTTTCCAGCTCAAAAACTCCTGATTCTAAGATAGTCACACTCTATGTGTGTCTCTCATTTGGCTCTGCTGAAATATTAGTGACTAAGTGGCATAGGAGAGACTCTGCAGAACAATGGAATGCATGAGTTTTGGACATTGGGTTTGAGGTTCTCCTCAACCTCTTACTAACTGTGTGACTTTGGGCAAATCATTTCCTCTTTCTGGAACCCTGGTTTCCTCATGTGGAGAAAGGAAATAATTATAATAACCATATATCAAAATATTGTTTGGAGAATAATATACTTAATGAACATGAAAAGTGCTTTGTCAAGTATAATATGAGCAAGTTTACTAATTTTTTTGTATCAATTAAATGTCATATTACTGTATGAAGAATCCTCAAACCTAAGTCTAACCAAGTATATATACTGTTCAGAAAGGAATAAAATTCTTACTTTTCTCACAGGTTCAGGTAACAATCTGTGAGTTTATTTACTTATAAAAGCTGAAGACAAATGTTAATAAGAATTTGAGGCAAGATTTTCTGTTAAGCCTAAAAGATTGACACATCTGATGAGTAAATCTGTGTTTCCAGGATGAGGGACAGTGTTTGTACCTCTCTTTTTCCCATTGTGACATCAAAGAAAAAAATGAAATTAACATCATATCATATTATTATGTCATACTTTTGTGTTTGTTTTGCTCTTACAATGAAAAGCAGGAATTATGGAATTAAACAGATTTACTCCTTTTGTCACCTCAGTCAAGTTAATGAACCTCTTTAATTCCCCATGATCTTATCTAAAAAGTGAGAGTAATAATACTTGCCTCCTAGCATATGAGAAAAGATGAAGAATGTGTGTGATGGATGTAAACACAGTGCCTGACACACAGGAAGCACCCGAAAAATGTTTACCTTCTTCTTTCTTTTGTAGAACTCACATTCTCAGGCTATCAATGTTGACAGGACTGCATTAGTGAGTCTATATTTCATACTGCATCAGTGAGTTTCTATATTGGATAAAAGTAAATTAAATCAAATGGGTTCTAATATCTTTTTCTCTTAAGGTGCTTACCCCTTTGAAGTGGTACCAGAGCATAAGGCCACCGGTATGTAGATATTTTGTTCTTTATTCCCTGAAAATATTAGGCATGCATTAAAATTCCCATATTAAGTGAAATATCATGTCTACTCCACATACAGACATTAATGGGAAATTTAGTTTGTAAAAAATCATATCTGTGTACACAGTTACAAATTTTTGCAAAGGAAAAATGAATAAAATACTCCTATAGCCATAATGGCAAAGAAAACACTGCTGCTTCTCTGGTTGGAGTCACCTGAGCCAATGGTAAACCTGCCTCTCTGTTTCTCACCAGTACCCTTCCTATGGTTACGAGCCCATGGGTGGATGGCTGCACCACCAAATCATCCCCGTGCTGTCCCAACAGCACCCCCCGACTCACACCCTGCAGCCTCATCACCACATCCCAGTGGTGCCAGCTCAGCAGCCCGTGCTCCCCCAGCAACCAATGATGCCCGTTCCTGGCCAACACTCCATGACTCCAACCCAACACCACCAGCCAAACCTCCCTCCGCCCGCCCAGCAGCCCTACCAGCCCCAGCCTGTTCAGCCACAGCCTCACCAGCCCATGCAGCCCCAGCCACCTGTGCACCCTATGCAGCCCCTGCCGCCACAGCCACCTCTGCCTCCGATGTTCCCCATGCAGCCCCTGCCTCCCATGCTTCCTGATCTGACTCTGGAAGCTTGGCCATCAACGGACAAGACCAAGCGGGAGGAAGTGGTGAGTATATTTTGAAGCCACTACAATGCAAATCCTGTTAAAATGGTGCAGCAAAATAGGTCCCAGAGTTCTAAGGTCTCTGACAACCAAGGGTCTAGAGTTGTAGTAGTTACAAGTCTATAATTCTATTAGTCCAAGCAATATGCTATACCTTTATATTAAAAACAAATTCATCTAAATGGCTTGGTAATTAAGACCACAGTTTTTATGGTAGGTTTCAATTTTACTATTACTGAATTTCTACCAGAATATATATTACCAGAACCCATTAATAGAAATATATATTACTAAACCCCATGAATGTTAAAGGCAACAGTATAAGGGAATATCAGTTTTCCTTATATTTCAAGGTTTGACTAGCAAAAATAGGCTAGAGTTGCACTGAAGGCTTAAGAAAAGAGGGAGCAGGTAATTTTGAGAGTGCAAATATCTGAACAGGTTACAAAAGGTGGACAGAAAATCTCTTCAAAAACCTACAGGAAGATTCCCCATTTCCAGTAGTTTTCAATCTAACTTGGAGGAGGCTAAACTAAACATACTGTTAGATTCCTTTTCGGTACTGGGATTCTACAGATGATTAAGCTTTTAGCAAGAAGTTACTGCAGTTTAGCACGAAATCTTCCATTACAGGTAGCTCTTACAAATGAATGGGAATAGTCAACAAAACAACCTTAATCTACCTCCATAAAGTCTTACTTCTATGTATACGAGATTATGTGATCCTATCATGTATATGTATCCAACTGTAATTCCAATTTATACATGTTATTGATGATTTGCCACTGAGAAGAAGAGAGAAGTGAGGTGGAAATGACCAAGATAAGAAGCCAGGACACATAGGTTCCAGTTCTGCCTTTGCCCTCAAAGAGAAGGCAGTATTGTGAAAGTCACTTCAAATGTATGGGTGTTTTATTTTCTTTTAAATGGGGGAAAATGACAAAATCAGATTATTTTCAAGCTTCTATCCACTTATAAATATCGTAGTTTCTGAATTTAAAAAATCATAATATATGTCATAAATGGCTTCATAATTGTGAGCATGTTTATGGAAAATATGGGGCAGAATTTTTTGAAAATTGATTGAATCCCAAGTAATCTGGCGCCTATCATTGGCTATTTTAGTCTAAGGCACATGTTTTCTCTGTACATAGAAAATGCATTTGTTTATCTCTTTATTAATAATTAACACCTTGAACTTTATAATGTGCTCACATCTTGACAAAGCTATTTATGGAAAGGTGACTTTGGGAAGACAGTTTGAACTCTTTAAAACTCAGTTTCTTTTTGTGTAAAATTTGAGTATAAACATTGATAGCTTCTTAGAGTTAATTTTATGGAAAACAAAATAGCATGATAAGCTTGGAGCCTGGCATGCAAGAAGTACTCCCCGAAAAGGTAGCAATTGTTATTTTATTATAAAATAATAGGCTTTAAGTGTCCTGAAGGTGGAAGCAGTCCTCATGGACACCTAATATCTAATGACAATGAAATAACAAAGAAACTTTGGAAATTATAGAGTTCAGCTTAAATGGTTGTACATTGTTTTGACAAAACTGAAGCCAGACATGTTATAGTAAATGGTACTCACTAGGAACATTTGTAAATTATTTTAACTGTTCTTTTGCTATTTTTTTCAGGATTAAAAGATCAGAATATGAGAGGGGAATGAATACTTCAGTTGCTTTCAGGAATGACACAAGAACACAATGATTTTTGCTTATAATCACTTTACTTAGCAAATTCTGTAACTAAAAAAGTACCATTAGCAGACAATAAAATGCATTAAAAATCATTCATGTCTTTGTGTTGAATGAAACTTAAATTTTCCTATCATTTGAGACGATATATTATGAATGAGTATTCTTGAATAAGGTAGGAACTGCTCATTTAGTCATACAAATTCACCATTTGGCAAGCAAATAAGGAATATATTTCTTTTTAGAGAAAATTTAAATTATACTATCTCAAATCTTTTTTAAAAAATGAAGTTTAAACATCAGTTAAAACAGTTGATAAAATGAAAATTTATGAACATGTACAATAACTAAAACCTGAACCAAATGAAGGGAAGTTTATATGAAAAATTCTTTACATTAAAAAATATAAACTTTTGAAGAATGTTTATATTATGAAACAAATTAGGACATGGAACACTGGCTTTATACTTCACACCAAATTGGCAATCAAAATCTGGTCTTTTGATCTCACTCTATGGAAAAAGATTTTTAAATGAAATTATGTGATATGCATAATAATGTACTGAATTTAAAGTTATTCAAGTAATTTGTTTTCCCCAAAAAATGTTATCAATGGAGCTTCAAATAGAGAATTGCAGTGATTTTAAATACAAGTAATTTCTTCCACCTCATAACTTTAAGATGATAAATTGTACTGCATAGTCTTCAAAATGTTAACAAATGCATAAAATGGACTCAAAACAAGTTTTCTTTCCCACTCATATTTCTATTTGAATCCTTTTTTCTTCTTACACCCACACAGAATTGTAAACAGTCTTTGCAGGGTTTATATTACACAAACCCATGGTAACTTTATTCCAGTACCTTTATGATTAAGGCCCCTTAATCATTTTCTGGAATGAATAAACATAACTTTACTGGGAGGGTGTCAATATTCAAACAAATAACTTGATTTTAAAGAATTTAGATTCAATTTTTTAAAGGTAGAAAAGCTTAATCAATTGGCATGGACCACTTCTAATCAATTGAGTCAATATTTATTAAGCACACTCTAGGGTAAGGCACTATTCCATGTGCTGGTGAAAATAGTAAGGCCCCATCCTTAAGGAATCTAGAATCTACCACAGGGATAAAATAAGCCCACAAATAACGATTAAAAAGTCCAAATGGTATTAATACTATGACAGAAGTACAGTCAAAATACTCTGGCAAACATGGCAAATATCCTTGGCTAGCTGTCCGACAGCTTTCCTCACCACTCCTTTCCTGTTGGCAGAGCTGGAATCTATCCCAGCATTCAGCCACAGTTTCCAAATCAAAATTCAGATATGCAGTGTGATAATACAGTGGAATGTTTCAAACCAGAGACATGCATTAACTGGTAATTATACTCTATACTTGCATTGTCAAATATGGTAGCCCTGTCCGATGTGGCTATTTAAATGTAAATAAATTAAAATTAAATAAAACTTAAAATTCAATTCCTCAGTCATAGTAGACACATTTTAAGTGCTAAGTAGTCACATGAGGCTAATGGCTACCATACTGGACAACAGAGATACAGAATATTTCCATCACCACTCAGTTTTATCAGACAGCATTGCTCTATGTACTACTTCTTGAAGTTGAAAAATAATTCTTATTAATTCAAATATTTTAAACAAAAGATGAAACAAAACAGATTTGCTGGTTGAAACTGAAAATCTCAACTACCCACAGCAAGTTGTTCCCCAAGCATGCCAGTAATCCTGATCTTGTATGAGAATTTTCTAAGAACTGTAGATGTGCCATTCTTTTCCTCAGGCCAAACTTCACATACTAAAATGGTTTCCCCTCTAGTTTTCATTTAGAACAGATAAATCCAGAGTTCAGGTGTATCCAGACTTCAGAAGATATTTACATTCTTTTCTATTTTGTGGTTCAAACTAATAGTGCAACATAACATAGAGGCAGGCACACATTCATGTTACACACACTCACACACCCATAATCACGCATGCCTTCTGGGTTTACCTGTAGTAAAAAGACACATGTGGAGACATGTGCCATTTGAGTAACTTGAAATTTTAAATAAAACTTTCCATTACAATCATTTAGAGAATGATTATGTGGTTATGGTATTCATTATCACCACCAAGACATACTACAGTTCTTCCAAAACAAAAATTATATCAAGAAAAAAATGATCAAGCTGTGCATTTCATTTACAAGCAATGTCAAGTTTACCATCTACTTTCTCAATTCCACACAAAATAAAAATACAGACTTTTCTCTAAATCTGAAGTTCTTCCTTTGGTAGTAAACAATAGCTGAAAATACCAAAATTGAGTTTAAGGCCAAGACTTTTAAAAAGAAAATAAATTGGAATGTGTTTAGGGAGGCGGAGCAAGATGGCCGAATAGGAACAGCTCCAGTCTCCAACTCCCAGCGCCAGTTCTTCCAAAACAAAAATTATATCAAGAAAATGATCAAGCTGTGCATTTCATTTATACAATGTCAAGTTTACCATCTACTTTCTCAATTCCACACAAAAATAAAAAAATACAGACTTTTCTCTAAATCTGAAGTTCTTCCTTTGGTAGTAAACAATAGCTGAAAATACCAAAATTGAGTTTAAGGCCAAGACTTTTAAAAAGAAAATAAATTGGAATGTGTTTAGGGAGGCGGAGCAAGATGGCCGAATAGGAAATGGGCCCAGTCTCCAACTCCCTAGATGCTGACAGCGACACAGAAGACCGCGATTTGTACTTTCAACTGAGGTACTGGGTCTATCTCACTGGGGAGTGCCAGACGACGGTGCTGGTCAGCTGCTGCAGCCCGACCAGCGAGAGCTGAAGCAGGGCGCGGCATTGCCTCACCTGGAAAGCGCAAGGGGGAAGGGAATCCCTTTCCTAGCCAGGGGAACTGAGACACAACACCTGGAAAATCGGGTAACTCCCACCCCAATACTGCGCTTTAAGCAGACAGGCACACCAGGAGATCATATCCTACACCTGGCCGGAGTGTCCTACACCCACGGAGCCTCTCATTGCTAGCACAGCAGTCTGTGATCTACCAGCAAGGCAGCAGCAAGGCTGGGGGAGGGGCGCCTGCCATTGCTGAGGCTTAAGTAGGTAAACAAAGCTTCTGGGAAGCTTGAACTGGGTGGAGCTTACAGCAGCTCAAGGAAACCTGCCTGTCTCTGTAGACTCCACCCTCTGGGGACATGTGGCACAGTAAATAATAACAAACGCAGCAGCTCTGCAGACGCAAAAGACTCTGTCTGACAGCTTTGAAGAGAGCAGTGGATCTCCCAACACGGGAGTTGAGATCTGAGAA